AATAATATGCCCTATTGCACTCACTTCCAGAACAAACCAAATTTAGAAGCATCTATCTAGTGTGCAATGAGTTTGTTGGATCTTCAGGACTTTCTTGATTTATTAAAGGTTGAGGTGTGTTGATAGATTTGTGAAGAGTTACACAGCACCAAAAAGCTACATGGAATCATGAAGCCCACAGAAGTCCACTAAACAAACAAGCAAAGCTTTCTAGCTTTTGAACTCTCTGTACCTAAATATAAATACATTTGCCATGTATAGCAGGAGTTGTATTAGACCTCAAGCAACCTAAAATTTAATTTGACAATAATGTAAGAGGATAAGCTTTGCTAAGACAAAAAAAACAAACAAACAAACAAAAACAAACAAAAAACCCCCCACTTTTGATGAATCTTAGACATGAAAAATTATCTAAAATCTTTATAAACATTCTTTAGAAAGTTTAAACATTTGAAATGAGAACTAAAACAAAACGCACGAAACCACTAGTTCCTCCCCTGAACGTATATTCAGATTCTGGCTGACAACATTTGTCCTTCTAATATTATTTCACCATAATAATTTTGTTTTCTGGGGCTGTACTGGGGCACATGTAGGAATTGCATAGTATGGTGGTACACGATCTAAATTGGCCTGTAGGCAATGAAGTAGAGCAAGTAGGGTCCTATAACAAAATTATATTTTCATTTCCTGTCAACCTTACCTTTATTTTTGAATGTCATGTCCATCTGGGACAAAAAGGCCTTACATGAAACAAGTTCCTCATGAGCAATGGTACCAATATTTTCTAAGATACAATTTGTTGGTAAGGCCGGTTAGTTCCTTTGAGAAAGAATGAGAGATTCCTGTGTTCTTGCTCTGTGTATGCCTGAGCTTGATCACTGTGAATGTCCTTGCTTGTTTCTTCTCTTCTACTCTGTGTCACTTTAGGATAATAACTGTGACTGTTACCACCGATCTGGATTCATAGATGTGCAATTCCCTAATTCACTTATGCGGATAATGTATTCATCCTGTAACACTGTTTCAGTTTCAGGACAGTGATGGTTGGAGTGGAATAGCTGCCGCAAGTAAAAGCAACGAACCATTTAGCAGTTGTACCATAGTCTGTTGCAAAGGATCTCTTGGCATCTCTCTCTCTCTCCCTACCCATCTGTAGCCATTATCATGTAACACAGTCTTTGAAAGAGTGACACGACCGAGTGACTATACCAGGCATCAAAATCTAGTTAAAGTTACCATCCCACAGTGACCTCATTAGTACTACTGTATCATGTTTTATTCTTAAAGACAGAGTGTCTCTAAATAGTTATATTTCTTTGGTGAGTATAAAATAAAGGAGTGAAGAGAAAATAATCCGTTTTAGCTGTGATGAGGAATACAATAACCCATCACCATAGCAAAGAGCATATTTTATTTGAAAAATACGAATAAAAGATTTTGTCCCTTTTGTTTATTAAAAGAAAATGTAACAATTTCTATCAGTAACACTTGCATAAGGAGGTATACTTTACATTACACTTTTGTTAAAAAAAATATATATATTTTTTGAGACTTTGGAAAAATAAGGATGGCCCAATACTTGCAACACGCTCCTAACGTTCCTTAGAATGCACTGTGCCATTTATATGTACCGCAAGTACAAGATCTTAGCACTTTATAATCCACAAAGTAACCCTAGGCAGCATAATTTCATATTCTTCTCCGCATTTAGAATATTTCCTTTGTTACCCTTTATGTGAGTCTATGAGTTTGGTTAATTCCAGGCTGGTCCAATACTTAGATTTTCTAAAGGATGATTTTACAAAGCCTTAGACCACAGAAATTCTGTAATTCCTTTTAAATATCAGTGAGAATATTTTTACATGGACACTTTCTTGCAGTATTCACAGCTTAAACAACTGCATCTATTAGAATTCAAAACCAAAAATGTTTGCAATTATTTTGTTTTTTTAAGAAGAATGCAAAAAATAAAGTGCATAACAGAGTGAAATTAATTTCAATTTTTACAGTCTCCTATGTGTATATACTAAATGGTAACACTGATAAACAAATTAATTTGTTTTCAGTGTATGAATCTTAATCTAATGCCAGTTGAACTCTTGTCTTTAAAGTGCATTAAATTACAATTTTGATTGTTTTTTTTGGTTGACAATATGTTATCACATTTTAAAATACTTATACAGACCATTTTCTCAGACGATGTGTCAAGATTACAGCATACTGAGTGCCCTCACCATTACAAGAAAGATGGTTTGTTTGAAGGAATGTGACTAATTAATTTGGTGTAAATGTCCTATTAGTTGAATAGCTGTTGCAGAAATAAAGTTGTAAATCAGAAATCCCTTAAGCACCACATTGTATGTGCTGTTTAACTTTACTCAGCATCTTCCAGTTTAAGTAAAACTGGCAGTTTTCAGCATTTAGTTGTTAAGAGGCAACAGGATTACTAGTTAGGCTAATAGGAAAATATTGGAGAATATGAGTACACAGAAGATCCATGAAAGCTTTAAGCAAAGTCCATACAACCAGACTTAATCATAAACTAGTAAAGTTTCCCACACTACTTTCACTGAAGGTATACTTCGTTCAAATCAGCAATGCTACAAAATGATCATGCCCTCCATGACATACAGTGTTAATTTTCTCCCAGTCTAATCAATGTTAACATAGAAATTCTCAAATATAGCTTACATTTGTTTCTAGGGCACAAAGGACAAGGAAAAATTTGTGGGATCAGGAAAGTAATCTGTATATCTGTTCTTTCTGCACCGTGAGGCCTTTTCCTGTGGCCCAGAGGATTTAATATTCTATTATTTGTCATGCAAGCAACACAGCACTGTGATGTGTATTTGAGTAAAAACCAGTCAGCACAGCAAGCATGCAGACATATCGTGATAGAAAAGCACATTTGGCAATCACTGTGGATAGGACAGACCAATTGATACACACCGCAGTGTCACTGAAGCAGCTTTTCAACAACCCTGCTGAGTTTTAAAGTATTCAGAATTCCTGGGGCTGTGGATATGATGCACGTGCTGTACAGAAGCAAAGAGAGCACAGGAAATGGTGAAAAGGGGATTCTTCTTCTTCTGAGAAATGACCTCCTTCTCTCATTAACTTAATGAGAACAGGAGCACAAGGAGTGATTACTTGCTTATGTCACTACTCTTCTGTTGGCTTTAAGACTGAATGTTCTGTGATGCAAATTAAAAGAAAACAATGGTGGGAACACTGCTTAAAGCACAGAATACAACTCATTTTCCCAGCTTCTGTGTAGGACCAGAGGAAACAGACATAAAGATAACTAATACCTGGCTCTCAAAGCTGTAAAACCACAACGAATGCAGTTTTCATACAGATGTGGTACAAAGTGTTACAGCCCATAGTACTACTAATGCTGAAAGATTTTCTTCTTAGCACAGTACTCATACAGTATGAAAAATTAGATGGTAGCATAAAGCAAGTGAGGTCTAAATCAAAAGAAAACCTCTCCTTATAAAATCTTGTACTACTAGTTGCATCATTTTGGACAAAACTGAAACATCCTAACTCTACCCCCAAAAAAGACAGTGCATAAACTATTCTCAAATTGAGTATTACTCTTACTGTATTAAAGCATACATTTATCTTTACTCTACAATGAGAATCTCTCCTTAAATGCATTTCTAGAAGATTCTGTATTTGGTAAAAATAAAAATACTACTACTAAAAAAAAATAAAGTAAATCTGAACACAGGTTATTAAACTACTTTCAAATTATCATCAGAATATTTTAGGGTTCACGTTTTTTTCCCCTCTAAATTGGCTCATGGATTCATATGTTGACAGAAAGGGAAACATTATAATTTTCAAGATGCAAATAAAACAGCATAGTAAAAAACAATTCTGTGACTACAGTGCAACTAATACTTATTAGAGACTGAAAAGTTTCTTACAAAGCTGCTTTCTAATTTTTTCAGATGGCCGTTTAAACCAGTCAACTAAATCTCAGGATTTAGTTGCGTATTTTTTTTTAAAAATAAGCATCGTCAAAGCAGAACTGATCAAAAGTTTCAGTTATGTCTAGGACCTACCCAACCATACAGTAATGAAAGGAAGGCTTAATAATCTGGTTCACCTGTGTGGCCCACAGTAGGTCAGCAACACAGACCCTTCTTTACTAAGCTGACGGTCAGTGGCACCTAAAACACACAGGGAGGAATCTAGTGGGGCATACAGATCTGTATCACTCTTTGCACTAGTTCAGAGACTAAAAAAAAAAACAAAACAAAACAGTACACAGCTTTTTCTCTGGACAGTTGTTATATCAAATGCGTATTGCAAAGGAGTCCACTTATGTAAATTGAGCTATAATTTTCTTAGAAGCAGGAGACTGTAATAGATGGTGAGCCTTACAGGTCATTATCTTCCATGGGATATTATGAGCTCCTGGTCCTCTCAAAGTATTACCACAAGAAAGATAAACAAAAGGTTAAAGTTTCAGACAAAACAAAGGAAAACATAAGAATCTGCTGAAGTAGGTGATAAGTAGCCTGCAATGTTAAGCAGAACTGTTTAGCAGACCTGCAAAGCTGAAGAGTTACTAACTTAAGAAGCCAATTTATTTAATCCATAGGAACCACAATAATGGTCTATTTTAATTTTTTCTTCCTCCATTGACTTAAAATGTTCCTGTTCCCATGATGCTTGAAATGGGGAGAAAAAAGTTCGCTCTGCTTAGATGGAAATTTCTCTAAGAGAAATTAAATATCAGTAGACTGAACTAAAAAGAAAAATGCATCATCATCCTATTCTCTTTGTTTCAATTTTTACTATGCCCATGTCTTATCATCAGCTCTATTTTGCTTTTAGTCACACACAGAAATAGAAATACATTTTGATTAAGAACCCTGTGTTTTAAACTAATTATTATAGCTCCTGGACTCAGACCAGCAAAAGACTTGAAACGCTTCGTCTGTTGACATAAGTGAAGCACACTGAACCAAACAACTGCATAGTTTAATGGTGCTGCCATTGTTGTTTTTATTGAAAGAGCCTATGCTTCATCTGCTTCACTGCATAAAGGGTACTTTGGACCCATTCCATTTAAATGAATGATGTTCCCATGAAAATACAAAAAGAAAAAGCAGAACACTGGAAACAACAGTTCCTTTAGCACGCAGTAACAGAGCAGGTCTCGAGTTATGGGCTAGCGCCATGTTTGAGCTAACAGCTAATGATACCTTTCCTCCGTTAGCTGGTTATAGATGACAAGATTATGACGGACATCATGAAATGACAACATCTCAATGCAACCTGCTAATTCAATAAGATTAAATCATCAAAGGACCATTTATTTGAGAGGACAGGTCTGGCTTATTCCTTCTGTGAAGGAAACGCTGTTAGCACTTCTCCCACCGACAGTAAACCTCACTGGCTACCTCACACTGGGATCACAAGGCCTAGAGCACAGGTAGAAATGCAACATCACAACCACCTGCAAGAGATTTTCTCCTCCGTTAGCTATCTTCTTAAACAGGCATGACCATAAACTCACTGCAGCTTGGAGGTGTTAAGCATATTGCAATAAAAATGTCATTGCTTGGCTTTACTTTAGATATTATTACAGATATGGTACCATGGACTTTATTAAGCAATTAGAAAACATACACAGGGACAATAGCTTCTTTTTCTGTATTTTTCAAAATCTGACTTTCTTCCAATTGGAGAACCCAGTTTCAAATATGAAAAGGGCACTTGTTCTACAGCAACTCCGTACAACTTGCTCAGTTCCAAGTACTGTATGTATTTTTTGTTACTGTTGCTGTCATTATATCTCCAGTTGTTTAGGAACTTCTCTGTTCTGGGAATTACAACTAAGTTGTTCTTTCTGATTCTATTTCCCCATAGAGTTCAGCTAGCTTCTTGAACTCAGGTCCCCAGTCTCCAAGGTAATTATAATCCTGGTCAGAGTGTGTGGTGGCTGAATCCAGAGAGCTGATAGATCCAGCTTCTGATCTATGACCCTCATAGGCATATGTCTGTAGGGAGTCATATGGGGGCACACTGGGGTCCAGATCAGCCTCTGCCAGTCTTTGTTTAATGAACTCGTGAACATCTATACTGTCAAGGCTCGAGGAGGGATGATGCTTGAGCACAGGCTTCACTTCAGGACGAACATCCCTCCGGTATTTTAACTCCTCAGCAGCCGATGGATTCCGCAGTGCTGTGATGTCAAATGCTTCTGTGTCTTCTTCTCCACCACCTTCATCATCATATGTCACAACATTTTCCCGGACGTCTTCTTCTGAAATGATCAAGGGCTCCTTCTTGCTACGTCTTAGGGTGATGAAAAGGACCACAATTGCTAAAGAAAAAACTGCAGATATTAGAGTAGGTTTAAAGTTTACATCTGAGGTAAGCAGATACGTGCTAAAGAAATAGCAAATACCAAGACATGAATACAGAGGTGTAATGTTTTCAGGCTAATATTGTTATTTGGGATCATTACGTCAGCCATGTGTCTGTAACAAAGGGTCACCAAACTTGTCCAGTCTGGAGAAGAGCATACATCTGTTCCTAAGTGAGCAATGCCTTTGTTCTGTAATGTGTTATCTGAAGATAGATTACTCAATGCCTGGGAAGCACCAGTGAAATCCACAGAGCAATGTTTTGACATAGTAACATGACAAAGTGCAAGTGGGCTGAAACCACACAATTAAGGGGAAAATTAATAATGCTGTACTGGAACTACAAACTTCCAATACAACCTGGTCTTCCATAGGGTCAGGAAAGAGCACTATTCTACAGTGTATTTTCTTTGCGAGGATTGCTGGGGTTTCTTGAGCCAATAATGAAATCCACTGGTTGGATTATTAGGGATCTCATAAAGGACATAAAAAGGGATAACATTCAGTTAAATGAGAAATTAGTAGCCAGGGCTGACATTTTTCAGAAGTATTCTTAAGGGCTTCCAGTGTTTCACTAAAACCAATATTTATCATACATATTGAATTCAAATGTAAAAGCTTTATTTTTTCTTATGAATATTCATCTTGTATGATAAAATATAAGATAATAAATGAAATGTATTGCTATGTATTTTAAAAGAGCTTTCTGACAAGGAAGTTCTGAAGTAAGCTGTACGGAAAGTAGTCTCTATAACATGCAGAACATTTGGAACAAAATCCTCAAAATCTCCTATGTGGGTCATACTGCAATTCCCATTATTTCTTGCTGTTTCTATGAGAATGCAGAAAGACACATGAATAGTAGAGGTATGTACTCAGCAAGCTGTGCTTCTGCCAGAAAAAAAAAAGAAAAAAACAAACAACCCCCCAAAAAACTAATGGGTAACATTCAAATTGACCTGGGGAGAGAAAAAAAAAAAAAAAAAAAAAAAAAAAAGAAAAAGACAAGAGAAAATGCATTTGCAATTGCATTTATCTAATAGAATCATCTTATAGTTTCATATGTCCCTTGCCCTGTGGATTATGTTGTGCATTGCTATCAGTTTATCCCATGAAGGTAATTAAGAAATGGCTTTTGTACTGTGCTAATGGTGCTTCTTACAGTGTAATGCTTTTCAAAAAGCTTTCCTCATCTGTTCTCTATCATTTTTCACACTGTTCTAGACATGGAATTAGAGTCAGTGGCTTTTTGAAATCTTTCCAAATTACAGAAAAAAGATCTGCAGTGCTAATTACTTGATAACCTCTGAAAAATAATTTCTAATGGGTTCCAGATATTCATGAATGTACTTTAAAGACATTTTTCCCTATTAATTTTAGCTAAACTTTCTCCCCCCTAACCACAGCTATGTGTTTCTAATTACCTCCTACTACCATGCAGCCTCTAGTTCAAAAAGGTATCATATTAAAAATTTCTGCCCTGTCACATTCAGAGAGCCAGCTGAAGGATACCATTACTTAATATTGAAAATGGCTTACCAAGGAGAATGACAACACAGAGCAGAATTGCGATTAAAGCTCCTGTGCTCAAGCCAGCTGAGGAGAGGAAAGCTTCAGCATGGCAAGTTCTCACTCGTCCGTCTCTCTCACATGCACAAACCCTAATTGTGAGAGTACTGCTGCTGCTGAGAGGGGGCACTCCGCCATCAGAAATCAAAACTGGGAGGTAATAGATGTCTTGAGTGGTTCGACTGTATCTCCTTCGTCTTGTCAGGATACTGGCTGTATTATCTACAATATCAAAACCAGAATATCATTTTAATGAAGCAAAAAAATGAAATGTGTTATTGACTGACTGCTTCCCATCGAGTAGAAGCATAGGGTATCTTAAAACTAGACAGTCTTAGTCTGCGAAAATGCACAATCTAGAATTAAAAATTGTCAGGAAGCATTTGTGACCAGCAGAGGAAAAAGAGGCGGCAGGGGAAATGTAATTTCCTATTACAAACAAATGTAATTTATGTAATTAGCATTACATAAATAAGATTATTTAAGATCATGTACTTTTCTTAGAGTCTAAATGAACTTTGACAAGCATTTTGGGATCAGTTTGTAAGTGTTTTAATCCCATGTTATACTGTTTTTAGTATACAGACACTTGTAAATTTAAATACCTGGAATTCCGAGTCTGTCTGTTGTGGAATTCACCCACAACATAAAATCCTCTTCATTCTTAGAAGAATGATAAGTGGTCTTTAGTAAAAGTTAAAATATGACTTCCATGTTTACTGTTTGTGACAGGTTTTCCAGATCAAGTGAGCTTTCAGAAAACACTAGAAAGGACAATGGGCAAAGACTCATGCTGTGGAGAGGTCAGGAGGCAGAAGGGAAGGGAGGAGGGAAAAGAAGGGGGAAATAGCAGATATTACATGTTCTAAACTGGTAGAGGTTAAAGGTAAGTAAGCAAAGGGAAGACAGTGTTGTAAGATTTTGTCACAACTATGTTACCTACAGGTCCATCTGACATATATTACGGTCAACGAAAATACTAATGCTTACTACACACACTGCAAGAGCATTTATAGGTGCTAATTAGGATAGTAAGCTGCCACTCATATCCCTTTAAGTCCAAGAAATTAAGGGGCATGAAAAGAGTGCAAGGGAAGAAATGCTATGATAATATATAGTTGTATCTTATTTTCGTATGTGCAGAATTTAATTTCAGTTTGTTGCCACCAAAGTACTGGCCCCTGAATAAGAACCCACAGATAAATCAAACAAAATTGGAGACAGTAAGAAATCAAACATGATCAGTTGTGATGAGAGAGATGGGGCCTGAGAGATAGGAAGAGAGATTACATGAGAAGAGCTCTCCTCTCGTACTACTTGTCCATGATTAACAGTCACATAGTTTCCAAATTACAGGGTTGTGGGTTTGGAATTTTTTAACAAATACCACAGGGGTGGTAAGTGTGAAAATACATCTGCTGGGCTTCTCTTCCTATTACAAACAAACCAGAATATTTCTTTTTCCTTACCACTGTAGCTTCAGCATTAAATGGGTTTATCATAATCTATGGAAAAATTAAGTCTGTGGCACTTTGTGAAAATCTACTGCAACAATACAGCTACTGTGGCATATTTTAGCCCATAGGACTGATTATTTTCCACATGCATATTTGAATGGAGGAGTTAACTTTTTGTTTAAACTTGAACCTGTTTACCAGGTGAATACTCTTCATGCCCCATCTTCTATCAAGCTCTGTGCCAAATTTAAAAACAATCATTTTAACTCACTTCTCTCAACAGTGATAAATGGTACTGAGAAAAACTGGTAGTATAGCCCCACATCAGCATAATATCACAACATAATATATGTGGTAACAGGTTTCACACTAGGAATATATATGAGGTGAAGGTGATGTCCTTGCTGCTCATCCAAGAACTGAGCATCTCGTTCTACTGTATTAAAGTTCACTAGCTTTTCTTCTCCACACTCCCCTACTTATCTTCTTGCAAATCTCCAGCATGGTGAGTTTATAACAAACTCAATAAGTAAAGCATTGCTCTTCTCACTTGCAGTGGGTACAAAAATAAATGTATGTTTGTTTGTTTATTTGCAGCAGGCCATGAAGTCCTCTTCTACTTGTTCATGCTAAGGTATACTTTTGATGACTGCATATCAAGATCCATGTCATCTTCCTCTTTAGAGGCATGACAGTAGCCACTTATAATGCCATTTATATTCATTCCATTTACAGAACATCACTGAAACCAGAATGAGATGAACAGATAATTCTTTCATCTGAAAAAGTCTGACACAGAGGAAGATCATCACGTTGTGGAAAATATATTTTCATAGATGTTATAAATTACCTATGATAAAACATACTATTTTCCTTATAAAGTTACTTACTACACACACACACACACACACACACACAAAAGTATTTTCAATAATCTGCAGAAGTGCAACACACAGGTGATTGAAAGATATACAGTAAATCAGTATTTTCTTTTGAAATAGAGTTGTGGAAATGATTCCTATACACCTGTAGCATATGACATGCAGAAATAGCTCCTAAATTTTTATAAAAATTCTGTTAAACTTTAGCTTATCTCCATATTGCTTATTCTGGGTTTGTGAAAACTTATAAAATCATACTGTGGTATTCTCATAATGCTCATTAACATTTTCATTATCTTATTGTCAAGAAATAAATGATTTCCACATTATTCTGTGACTCGGTTAGGGAGTCAAGTGTTCTGAGTTATAACTGATTCAATTGATTGAAAAAATCACTATTGATATCCCTGAAATTCAGATTGTATTTGTTGTATAAAGAAAACTACCCTAAAGCAGACTGAGCAGCAGCCTTAAAACCATAATTACAGACTATGCCCACCCATGAAGGTCTTACTAGTCTGTGCCAGTCTAATTCTAAGATATACATAAAAGTCCTACGTCTTATTTTACAAATTCGGACCAGCTTGTTCTTTCATACATGTATGGTCTGCTACTTTAATCAAATGCAGTACATGAACAATGTCAGTGATTTATTTTAAAATACTCCTAAAACAAATGAAGAATCTTACAGAACACACATTACAAAGAGGTAGACCGCCTGCATGTCTTTTAATTTTTCAGCACTTATATTGGTATAATCAGGGGGTAAGGTAAGCAGCTGTTTTATTTTTCTGCTACATAACGTATAAAAAAACTTTTGCTTTTTTTTTTTTATTATTATTATTATTAATATCTTGTCCATTTGCCACTCGTTCCATTTCTTTATGCTCAACTGTCAGTCCCGACTTCCCTAATACTGCTGGAGGACATGGATAAAATCTTCAGTGGTTCAAACAGGGAAACCACCATAGAACACAAAATGATCTTCAGCTGGTCTGCCTCTCAGCTGCCAAAGCAGTTGCAGATTGAGCTCTCTATACAGCCCAAGAGCAGAAACAAACTCCCATATCTGTGATTAGTAGGGAACTTCAAATGAATACATATTTTACATAAAAAGAAGTTAATGTTCGCAGTATAAATATAAGGTGATGACTGCTGCTTCTGCCTTGCTACATTCAGAAAAAAGCTTCATCATCATCTCCTCCATATGCATGAAAAAATCCACCGACTTTCTAGTTGTTCATAATCAAATTTATAATTGATTTCCTTCCTTGAAATGCAGCTTGTTACAGATTATCAACAGAGCTCCTCTCTAACAATTTCGGGTTTTATCTCCTGCGGTTGCAGGTTGTTAAACAAAACAAGTCCGGGGAGTAAGTATGATCTCTGGAACATCAAATGTTCACACTGCTAAATTTTATCATTCTCCCTGGTATTTTCTTGGTCTAGGCCAACTAGGACTCTCTCACATAACACCCAACTACAGTCAGTGTTAATAACATACACTAGGGACCCTTCCCAGCGGCCAGTATGGACAAGAGTGCACCAGGTTTGTCTCCTCTCACTTTACACAGTGCTTCAACATTATCCCAACACCCTGCGGATCCTTAAGCATCCCTAAACAGCCTTGTTCTACACACTCTGCAGCACGTAAATTCCTTTCATGACATGGTAACACTGCTCTGTTGGGCTGCAATGCAACTTTCACATTATTTCATAAACTCAGAAGAGAAAAAAACACATAATGAAACCTGAGCTCCACTGGGTACTATGCAGAGTCCAGAGGAGGTATAAGGTCAAGAGCTATGTATTATACACGGCCTGTGTTATTAAAATTCATTGCTAGAGAACAGTCACAGTCCTGTCTTACTTTGTGGGACGTTGTTCTTTTTTTCCTCAGCACCAATACTGCTCCAGTAAATTAAAGTTTGAGTGATCGCCTAGAAATCCCACTGTCATTAGAGAAGTGCAACACTACCATATGCACTTTTTAGCACATGTTCTTATCAACAAAAAGAGAAAGCAATTTCAAAGAAGTGTCAGTTCTAAGGAGAATTATATTTCAAGTTACAACAGATGAGAAGATGACAATCACACAACAAAGTTATCCAGAAATGATACCTTAAAAACCTAAGGAAATGTTCAAGGATTCAGCTTGAAATACAATTCCCTATTGGTAGTAACTGACACTATATCCATGAGGTAAGCATTAATATTAAGAACTGCATGTCTATTATTTCAAAAGAAAAAATTCTCAGATCTTATACTGTTACCTCCAAAAGGTGACAGCATGTGTTATTACCAATAAGAACAGTCTTCATTCCTGCTTAATACTCTATTTCTTTTATGGTGTCTAAAAGCCCCAAACACTTCAGTTCAGCTACCTTGTCCATATATGCAAGAAAATCCTACAGAATTTTGTCCATGTGAATCTTTTTGTGCCTATAACCAAAGAAAGTGCAGTATTCAAATCTAAGCAGGAAAGCACAACCTCCTCCTTCCATCCTCTGGCATAAATCTAAAAAATCCCAGCAAATGATGCAGTATCACCGTACAGCTACAGAAGCCGCAATGAAAACATGGGCTGAAAAGAAAAGCATCAGAGACTAAATATGATGAAGAAAAATTGAGGAATCCTGAAGCAGGAATTTAGCAGGAATTAAAGGATTTAAACACAGGGACTATTTGCAAAGATGTAAATGGAAGAGCATGGAGATGTGAGCATGTATGCTGTAAGGATAACTGTGGAGGTGGAGGAAAAAATATGAGGGCAATAAAAAAAAAAAAAAAAAGGACTGTGAGAAAAATAAAATACCAAAATGACAAAATGGACAAACTAGACAATTCAATCTTGACAGTGAAAAAATCTGAAAAGAGCTATAAT